ATTTACTTCAGACGTTTTTGTTTTTGAATTTTTTAAAAAAAGTAAAGCGAATAAGATTAGTCAAGTGTTAATTGATTACAAAATGAATAATTAAATACACTGTTTTAGACTAATTAAACTTTTTAATGTACCTAATATGTTACCAAGTGCTCTATTTTTTCTTCATCTATCGACTGTGCAGATAATTAATTGCTAATCTTAAATTCATTAATTAATTGGTGGTCATGAACATCCCATTTTTAAATTTATTTCAAGGGCTATAGAATTATCAATATGAAAAAAACATACCTACAGCTGGACTCTTATTGTAATTTGTAACACGCGTTGAAATAATTTACGGAAGTATACAAATTGTATGGATATGTGTTTAAATTATATTATTATGTTATAGAATAGATTATTATAATATGCGTATAGTATTTATCTAATTATCTACCAAAGAATATATTATAGTAATATATGGATTTTAATTTTATTAACATTATTATCTTTTATGTGGGCAATTTGTAATGTGAAATTCACCAAATTAATAAATTATGATATGATTAGTTTGTTTAGTATGTTGCACTGTTTATATTTTTGAGCGATGAATGAATTAATTTTTCAATGATAACTATGTGTTTTTTTTTTATTTTTTTTTTTGCGTGTCTAGAATCACCTTTTGAGTCAGTACAAATGCTTCGATTTTCAACTTTGAGGGTGGTATCTGGTAGTAAATTTAACAAGCGTCTATAGGGAGAGAAAACGGCGAATGACTGTAAAATGGCGGCTTTATGCTCTTATAGTCTTATCTCTTATTTTAACAAACATTTATTAGTATTATCAAATAAGATTAAAATAATAATAGTTCTACTTATTTTAGATTTCTTCAACTACAGTTTGACTTATTCTTATTTATTTTCAAATTAATGACCAAAATGAATTAGTAATAATATTAATGGAATGTTCATCTGATGAAAAAAACTTGAATGATTATTTTAACTGAAAAGTTATTATTTTATGAACTATATTATTGTAGGTATATTTGTTATATACATTTTATTGACTTATTATTTTTATGAACTATGAATGTTAGTTAATATTTTTTTAATATACATTTTATTCTATATATTATTTAACTGTTAGGATAAGTTTCATGAGTTCTACAACTTCCATTCTCATGCCATACCTACTAAAAAAATTTGAATAAAATAATATAGGTAATACTTTAATGTCTTGAATAATACCTTCCTGTATCCAATAACCATACAATAACATCAATCATAAATGTTTAATGTCCATAATAAATAATATTTATTAATTAATAGTTAATAATGATATGCCAAAATTAAAAATATTAATAGCCAATAGGTAATCGAAAATAAGTAGAACTATTAATCTCAATTGATAATAAATTATAAGAAGTTATAAGATGGTAAAGATCCGCCTTATTGAAGCCATTCGTTGTTGTCTCTCCCTAGACGCTTGTGTAAATTTGGTCTAGTTAGTAATTTGGGGGGGGGGGATTGAAGGAAAAACGGGAATTTTACTCAAAATAAGTTTTAAAAAAAAAATTGTTTTGGTTTTTTGGTTCAACTTATAGCCTTAGCTATTAATAGATTGAACATTTTAATCATTCTAAACTACAAAATAATTTTTCAATTTTCGTGATTCTACTGGAATCCGTAAAAACATAGTACCAACATTTCCAAGATTTATATTTACAAACAAAAATGTTACCCATCATATACATTTAAAATAAACTAAAAGAGTAGAAACTTTCAAGTATTTATATAATAGCACAAAAACAGCCAAAATATTTCTAAAGGTAAATTCGCTTCTTGTAAACTCTAATATGAATATAATGTTATTCATTTTTGGATTAAAACAAATAAACAATTTCGATTTTGTGAAGATATTATGAAAAATATTTGTACTTTTGACCTCCCAAAGTACCAACAAAATCAAATTTGAACAAATCAACATGTACTTATTAATTATTATTTTATTAGAAGATAGCACTCATGCTTATCTATTATACGTCTATTAAATGGATTGTATGATAAAAAAAAATAAAACTAAAACTTAAAATTTGAAATTGTATTACCAACTACTTACCATTCAATATAGGTGGATATAGGTAGTTAATATATAATCAATATTATTATAATCGTATTCATATCTGTATTTCCTCGTACATTTAATATCATTTGAAAGTAAAATATGTAGATTCTCAACATTGAAGCTTTTTGTTTCGATATGCAATATTTAGTACATAATAATAATTTTTCGTTTGTGGAGATCATTGTTCGATATTTTAGCTGTATAATATCGTAGTTATAAGCCCATTAGTTTTAATCGTTCATTATTGATTAGCATAGCATATAGTTTATAACACAGGATCAATAGAATGTCTGATAAATGTACTGCTTACCGTGTGTCTGTATACCGTATACGATAACAGTTGATTATTTTACTTTTTCTTTACATTTATTACGGAATGGTTGGAAATATGATCACTCAAATTTAACATATTATGTTGAATAGTGTATACGGTTACAGCTATACTGTATATTACAATAATAAATATATAAGCCTACCTATATATATTTTGGAAAAAAGTGTACTGAAATGTATTATAAACCGTAGGTGTCATATTTTATTTATTATATTAATAATATTATATTTCAAATTATTATTAAATACATTTTTAACAAACAAGTAGCTATTTTTGAGAGAATATTATAAAAGCAGCTTTACCTATTAATATTTATTAATTTTATTTTTATTTATTCTTCAAGAAGATAATGGGCCCCACTAAACAGATAAATAGATACATAGACAAATAGATAGATGAATTTAATTTTAAACTTATAAATTTATACTTCTCAAATCAAATAAATATTATGGCATACACAATATTATTTTTTTAAGCCTACCTATTTTTAACTATATCAGTTCTTATATTTTATCTTCAATTTCATTATCTCTCTATTCCTAATTAAAAATGTTTTCCTTAATGCCGAAGCGTATCATAGATTTTCCCCGCTGTACAAGAATATTGGAGACCCCTGAGTTAGAGAATATAATCAATAGGTAGGTACTACTTCTCATATATTCAGTGTTGAGTGTTTATTAGCTCTTTTACATTCTAATGTTATTTAATAATTATAATAAATGTACGTCCTGTTACGTGTATATATAATATTATAAAATATTAGATTTGACACTGTATATACACTAGGGCTTTCTTTAATCATAGAGTTTGAAAATAAAATTACGTTTTTTCTATATCACCCCCTAAAAGGTTAGTATAAATAATATTGATGTACTTACCTCAACTATTTTTATATTATACACTACCTATACAGTAATACGAGTAGGTATATACAGTATGTCCCAAAAGTCCCGTATCACCCTAAATATATCCATGTAAAATCACTATATTTAAATGCGGCTTTTTTTTACAGTACTAAGTATGAAAATTCTGATTGAATGGCATAAAATTCATTTATTTTTTTCTTTAAATTCTTTTAAATTCTTATTTAAAAAATAAATTATTGTTTCACATTTCAATAATGAAATATCTAATTTCAGCACACGACAATACTTTTACATTCCTAATTTATTTTTTTACTACAATTATTCAAAAACATAACTTGCTCTAACTTGGTCAATTTTTATTTAATTTTAGTATTTTTTTTTTTGAACTGTTTTAAAAAATATGCTCAACAAAATGGCTATCTTAAAAATTTAAAATTCTTAAATGCGTAAAAAATTTTTTTGAAAATTTTTGAATTTAAAGAAAAAAAATAAATGAATTTTATGCCATTCAATCAGAATTTTCATACTTAGTACTGTAAAAAAAACCGCGTTTAAATATAGTGATTTTACATGGAGATATTAAGGGTGATACGGGACTTTTGGGACATACTGTACAACCATTTTATATTGTTATGCATTACACTAAGTCTGATGTTAAAAAAATATTCGGATGGTTATTGGTTGATTCGTTGGAAGTAATTTTATCGTGTACCTATACCGTAGAATATCTGCGACGAAGCAGTCCCATGGGCCATGGCCTAACCGTGCGATTTGGTATACCTACTAATGACAATATGGTGTTGGTAGACAATCGATCACCCGCGGTTACAAAAGGGTGTGCGTTCCCGGTTAATATTAGACAGTAGACACTTGCATTTTGCTTTCATGGCAATGACTATAATGAGTAATGACTACAGCGACACATATCCTTATTGTTGGTACATATTTTATATTTTGTTGATCAATTATGGATGGTCCATGTCCTATCATAATGAGAGAACAAATTTCAAACATTGCACTGCATAGGTAAAAATATAGTCGTTCTATAGTTAGGCATAACGACTGATAATTTTTTGTCATAATTTAAAGAATATCTCAATATATATCGTATGCCTACCTTTATTATTAAATATATAATTAACAAATCTTATTATTACACGTGTAAAAAAAAGGATAAATCAATCGTAGAAAGTTTCTCGTACATATATCAGTTTGTTGTGAACCGATCGTCTGTTATAATATTATAAATTATAAAACAAAGAGCTTAAAATATATGGTTCCTAAATACAATTTTTAAAATACCTGGGAAATCGTTTTAAATAATATTTTGTTTTAGCAAGTCCATAATGAAAATATTGATGTTTGTTCGTTAATTATTTAGTATTTACTATTATTCCTAGCAATAGATTATACGTTATGACCGACGGCTCTCCATTTAGCATTACATCGTTGTATAACATATATATATTATAACTCATAAGTGTGTATGTATGTAGTTTTTGATATATTATATTAATACACTTTCTTCATCTATAATTTCTTTTTCATTTTATTGTGAGTTTATAATTATTACATTTTCATTATTGCCATGATAATTTATGTATTTTGAATTTATGTGTTTTCGAACGTTTATTATAAATTTGGCTTATATTTTAGACCTTAGTTCTATGTCTTAACATAAATATTTATTATTGCAGGCTGAGAGCAGTAAATCCATTAACGAAGTGCATCGGGATACACACGATCTAGACGAAGAGATGGAACGTGTATTTGCCGGCGTTTCCAGTGGAGCCGATGCTAACCGATTTGGTTTGTCCAGATTTTCTAGCGATCGGTCACCTCGGCCAGGGGATAGGCGATTTAGCGAAGACGATTACACCGGTATGTCTTCGTTGACTATTATTCGTGTAGTACTATAAGGACTTAAAGACTAAAAAGTACTGAATTCTGATTCATGGTTACTGGTTAGATATATATACACAGGACAGGCCATTTTATAGCTACCTATATTTATAAATTATATTTAAGCTAGGAGACGATTATTATTAATTATCCTAATAATTATTTGCAATTATAATACAGACAATATAACAGAGGTAGTAGAATCCAAACATTGTAATCAGTAAGATAGTAAAAAAAAAATGTGGTTATTGAAATTTATCTATTACAAGGCTAATATTTTCCAAATTCGGTCAACTCAGTAAGAAATACTATGAATTTGCAATAAAATCATAATATGTATGTTATATACATAACGGCCGTCCTGGTTTATTGATCTTGGATCTACATCTACAAGGATTATAACAGTTAATAGTTACTAGTCTTAATTAAAACATGACCTTGATGTTAGTATTTTAAACCAATTTAATAAGCTATATTTATACCAATCGTCACATTTATTGTTTGCAGTTCATCGAAATAACAGCCGATCGCTCGTTCACATACCACTCAAGTCTATCCCAAAATCCATAAGAAAACAATCGACCACATCAATTAAATCAAGAGATCAAGAGACGGTAAATTACTTTGAATACTGTTGTTTAACATATTTTATCAATAGTTTTTAAATATTCATAACAATTTATTAATTTTTGTATTAATTATTAAGGAATTTAAGAGGACTGATGAACATAGAGATGTAACAGATTCTGACAGTGCAATGAGTCCGCCAACCACAAGCCAACAGACATCCAGGTAAATAATATTAGATACTTACTATTATTATATCGTTTACATTTAGTTTAATGAAAATAATATAAGATTGAAGCATTATAACTTATACAACTTAATTTTTTGAAGTATAATGATTTAAAAAAATAAAATAGTTACTGTTTACCAAACTCCATTAATAATATAATTGTATTTTTTGTGAATTTATTTATTTGAAATATTAATTCTTAAATTAATTTTAATATTTCATGTACAACCTGGTTTTATTACTGTGATTAATTATTTTTAATTACAAATCGCTTGTTATTACCTACTTGGATTAATTTTCTAATAAATATAAAAATGAATCAAAAATATATTATGCACCAGTATTGTTAGGATATTGACTGTGAATATTAAGTATCATAAAAGGAATCTACTTATGTTAGGTAGTATAATTATTAATTCATTTTGAGAATTTTCATTGTATTTTAATATTTTAAATAACAAAAAAACTTATGATAGAAAAATACATGACAATTGTTGATAGTATACGTACCTCTATACCTCCTACATAGAACCTATAACTATTAAGTTCTCTTATTATACCTTAATACCTTAGAGAATCTTTAAGATTTTCAAGAAGAAAAATGCGATACGTATCAATAAGGAATAATTATGAACCGCCTCGTATCGCTCCAATGAGTCCAATTACTTCCTTGAAAACCTTATATAATTCTATCTTAATACATACAAATATAAAATAGATGCCCAATGAGACTATAAGGACAAAATATACCGAATATAATGCTAATGGTAAATCTGTATAATCAAATTATGGCCAAAATATTAAAATAGCTATTTTTCATCATTATAAGAAGCAGAACAACTAATGTACTTTTATGATGTAGAGCTAAAGAACTTAATTATTTTGCTGTATTGTATAGGTTCGAGTGTAGGTACCTCTTCACTGAGTGTAATGGTCAATGGATGAGATATATTTCAATTCAATGATTATTTTATACTGAAAAACCTATTCTACGATAGTACGATGATTCGATCAGCTGCTTTATTTCTTAGGATTATTTACCTTTTACTATATTTATATTATAAATAATTTTTTAATACGGTAGCTTAAAATAATTTTGACAATAATAACGAATGTGTCTCTATTTATGTCAAACTATTCAGTAGAATAGTAGTATAAATAGATCAAAGGAAATTCTAAATATTTTAAAAATGTCATTGAATGTAAGTATATCTAACACTAAAAGTTGCAAGTCTTAAAGTTTAACATTTTTCAAATTTCAACAAAATATTAAATAACCAAAAGCCTTGAGGAGCATTATTTTTTGTCTGTCAATAACCAAGTTCATCAAAATTCCGAAAATTTGCAAATTATTTCACAGTTAGAAATTTATAAAATATTTTTCTTCTCATAGCTAACATTTGAAAATTGAATAGAACATTTCTCATAAGTTTTTCTGCCTTTAACATAATAAAAGTTTAAGTAACGCTATTTATAGTCATGATATATTTTCGATTTTTATTCATTATTAAATTTGATTACTTATACAAATATTTTAGGATGACACACCGTCTCCTCTCAGAATCGGTTTTCGTATACAATGGTTTACTATTGAATTCAAATTTAACACATCCATTACAATGACATACTTGACAACTACTGTACAGTAGAATGGTGTACCCACTTCTTAAACCTTTTTTAGTTACTTTTGCTATTGTTGAGGAACCTACTAGGACATTTCTATTTTTGGCACCTTAAGGGTCTTAGTACCGAATAAATAAAATTTACTACTCAGAACTATTCTCAAAGTTGAAGACTGAAGAAAATATAATGCTCCAAAATGTGATGAGCGACAAAAATAAAACAAGACATCATAATTTCCTCAATTTAGAAGTCAGAATTTAAAAGAATAAGAATATATTATAGGCACATCTTTAAAATTGTATTTTCTGTGTTCGCCTTTTGAAATGTTGAAGGTTCATTTTCATTACCGTTGTACAATGTACATATTAAAGGTTTTCCATACAGTTTTCATTCAATAACAATTTATTTTAGGTACTATACATTTTAAACTTTAATATAGTACAATTTTAAATATTTTTGACATTGAAAATTATTAATTAAAATATATGATGATAATGATTAATGACAATGTAATGAATATAATAATGTTTAATTTTAGAAAATACATTGTTTTCTTCGAGGTACTGAAATGTTTCTTAGGTTTAAATAATATTTACATGAGTAACTCAGTACACCCAGCACGCGAACCTTGGTTCAAATGTGGTAATATTTAAAATAAAGTTAGTGTAAATGTTGACAACTACTTATATAGTAAATGTAAGTTGTAACGACTGTCAAATAAGTAAATGTTTACTGTCAAGTATAGAAGCCCAGTTAATTAACATGATTATTTTTTGTTGAAGCGTAAATTAAATGAAAAAAAAGGTGGGCAAGTGGGTGTCGCTCTGCTGTACAGTAGGTTACAAGTGGGTCACTGTATAATGGATGATATTAAATTTGAATTCAACGATATAATATCATTGTATAAGAAAAACGATTCTGAGCGGAGACAGTATGTCAGTCTAGGTATAAGACATATTATATACATTATACATATCTATGGTACTAAACCAAAATTTGACCTATAATAGGTAGGTACCTATAATAAATTCCAAAAATAATCATATCAAAATATCCATTAGGTACTTATAACGTGTTATACATCAACAAAAACCGTGATACTATCATAGATATATAATAGTACACTTTAGAAGTTTCAAGTACCCAAGAATAATATTATTCAATCACAACAAAATAACTAAAATAGTTTTTCTAGGTTTTTTAATATGTAATTTCGTTCAAATTTGAATTTAAAATGTCTGTAAAAAAAACTGTGTTCATATATTTTTTAGAATTTTTGGTTACAGTATGAACTATTTACGAGAACCTTTGTGTTGAATTTGCAATCCTTAGCTAGAAAAACTGAACATTTTATAATTTATTAATTACAATGATTGATAATTTTCGAGATTTTGATAAATTTTGTCAAAATTTGATCTTTAAATGCTTAAAAAAAAAACTGTGCATATGTATTTTTAATATTTTTCAACTGATATTGTAACAATATATCAGGAGCCTTGTATTAAATTTTTACACTTTTTGGCCCAACAGATAAAACTTTATTGATATTTATAGAAAAAAAAACTAAAAAAAATTGAAAGCTGTAAATGTCCATAAACAGCTCAAAAAGAGTCAAAATATTTTCAAAATTGTATGGTGTATAGGAAATGATAATATAAACATTCAGTGAAATTTTCATGTATCTACAGTTATTCGTTTTTGAATTACAACAAAATAAGGAAATCGCTACATGAGAAATCGAGTGAACATCCAATGTTGTAAAAATTTGAATTTCAAACGCTCATAAAAATTTAATTTGACATTCCGGTAGAGATTTTTTTATTGATAAAGGTAGACAAACTTATGAGTAATCTTATATTACATTTTCAAATCTTAGATTTAAAAAGAAAAATTTTTACGAATTCTTAATTTTATTGATATTTCTAGAAAAAAAACTAAAAAAAAATGAAAAATGAAAATGTCCCTAAACAGTTCAAAATAAATCAAAATATTTTGAAAATGTTATCGTGTATAGAAAATGCAAATATAAACAACCAGTGAAAATTTCATGTATCTAAGGTCATTTGTTTTAAAGTTACACCAAAAACCAAATTCGATTTTTTGGAAAATCGATTTTGCGTAAAAATTCCCGTTTTTCCTTAATTTTTATGTTGTTTTTTCCCGGCGCTTGTGAAAACTACTGGAAAATGTTTACCATTTCAATACAACACAATGTTCTCGATGTATAAATTATGGTCTATTGGTTTAATAGTAGGATATTAGTATATTACTCCGACATTAGTAAGTACCTAATAAAAACTTTCGGTTTGACAGCAAACAAATATGTTGTAAATACCATATAGATATACATAAATCACTCAAATCAAATCTGATCAACTTAATTAAATTGTATCATGTTACATTTTCAGATTTATTGCTCAAAAACACCAACCATATTGTATATTTTATATGATTACACTTTAAATTACATGATATAAGACTTAGCTGACATAATAAGATTTATTTCTGTAGTTTAATATGACATAACCGAAATGGCGAAATGTCTGTTAGGTTATTATACAAAGCTAGCTACTAGCTATTATAGCTATATAATGGTGTAATTCTTAATGGATTTTGTTTTATAACTAGTGGAAATATATAAAGCACTGATTGCTTTATTAACAAACAAATTAATAATCAGAAAACATTTTAAATGAAAATGTAGGTATTGTTAAACTAAATTAATAGATAATTATTCTTTAAATAATGAGTAAAAATATAAAGCAACTGGTAGGTAGTATCTAAATGATAATTAAAATCCACAATTAGTGATATCAGTAAACCACCGATGAGGTGTCGTTTATAATTGAGTACAAGGTATTTGTAAAAAAGTAATATATTTTTCAAACTGATAAATGGCATTTTATTTTCATGGTTAATTGCTCAATTATCGATAAATGTATTATGTTTTTCAATCAATTTATTACGAAAAAGTTGCAAAATGTTGAGAATTATATTAAATAATAATATTATATTCTTAAAAAAGGTGCTCATAAATTGTTTTATTTATTAAATAAAGTTATGGTTTCTTAAAGATTAAAATTTTTTTTTTTTTTAAACGTTTTTAATTCAATTGTTATTAAATTTGCAACATCAACCTCAACAATTTTATAATATATAATATTATTAATTTATTTCATTTGAGATTTATCATTTTGTCTATGAAAATAATACTTACAAGATTACAATTAGTTATATATTTATGAAAAACTAGCATCATCAGTTATTTTTTCACTCATCAAGGGTGGGATGGGAGGGGGGGAGGGTTGATATTGAAAAATGTTAGATAATATTCTCGAATAACGATCTGACACTAGCATTTTACTTTTGTTTTATAAGAATTATAGCTACTGCATAATATTATTGTTATATTTATGAAATCCTAGCTTACGCCTTACGGTAAAGGGAAGTGTTCACATCGCCTAACTGCCTACCTTAAACTCACACTTGAAACCAAAATATTAACCATTACTACTTACATGAACATGGGATATGTTAGCTAAGAGATTCCTTACTTTTATTTTATATCAATTAGTAAATATTACTTAAATGCTATGAAAACGTGAAAAACGGAATTTATTACTCACGTAAATTTTAATTTACATTTGCATTGTTAAATTTTTTTATATATATTAAACATGTATTATGCAAATTAAAGTTTTCTAAAAACATACTCAAATATTTTATTATTCAACTGAATAATTGAAGGAGTGGGATATTACAATAATTTATTTTGTACGCTGTATAAATACCTATATTATATTTGTAACACATGTATGTATATTATAATATATACGATCATAATTTCTTAATATGGCTTAGCAACAGTGGTGCGTTACTTTCCGTGGCTGCTGGAGTTAGTCCAAACTTTGTGGACATCGAATCCGACGGTTCCAGGGCCGAAGATGGACTTTTGAGTAGTGAATGTGATACTCCTATGTACGAAAAACCAGAATTCAGTCACTACTTCAGACAGGACTCCGTGGACAAACACGTTCAGTTTAACATCGGTAAGTTAAAAAAACTTAAATTAACTTATTAGTTAAGCGTATTACATATTATATTTGCATAATAAGTAATCAAATGCACATGGGCGTAAATTGGGGGGGGGGATTAGGGCTTACCCCCTAAATATTTCTTAACTTAACCTCGTAAGTTTAATAAATTATGCTAATACTTGTTAATTGATACTTCTAGCTACCCAGATTTTAACTATATATTATGTATTCCCAGTGGTAGATTTTCAAAATTTTTTGGGTCTTGAATTAAAAATAATTATTCAAAATATTATATCAGTATATTTGAAATAGATGTTTAAATAACCCTATCTACTAATGTATAGAATATAAAATAAATATTTATATCCGTGTCTAAGGGGAGGGGTCTAGTCTGTTTTGGTACCTTATTGTTACCTTATAAGTTATGCTTGTATATTATTTTCAAAATTCCAGAACGGTGAAATTTCTCATATAAAATGAACATGTTTGGTTTACTTAATGATTTTGTTTTATTTTAATTAAACCACATTATAATATTATATAATACCACCTATATCTAAATATCTAATGTTTGGTTTTAGTATTGTACAATATATAGGTAGAATATATAGGTACATTTTACAGGAGCATATTTAAATTGTAATTTGTATTAACATACAAACTTGTGATTCGCTTTAAAATTCAAACTTATTAAGTTACAAAAATACAAACGACGTGAATTCCACATTTATGAAAATTTAAATCATCAGACTTCAGATAGGATCTATAGGAGCTCCAAAAACAATAATAACGTTCATCAAAAATACAAAACACTAAACAGTGTACCTATATTATAGGCCTCTTTTAATGTATTATGTGTTGGCATTAAAAAATAAAAAATAATAAATTAGTATATGATTTTATACACTATCCAGTAAAAGAATGTACAAAATAAATTAAAGTTAACAAAATCAATGTCAAACATTAACTTGTAAAAACTAAATAAAAACATATGCATAAGATCATTTTGATATTGAAGTATAGTAGATTATGTATTTATAAGATTTGAATGATTAGGTACAATATGCTTTGAAAAATAAAACTATAGATAACGTGAAATATTATGAATATTTGTGACCTTCAGTTTAAGTTTAATTTGAAACATAAGGAGGTTATAGAACAATATATTTTAATTATTGTTTTGTACATTTTTGTAAATCTTTACAATAAGAAATCAAAAATGTAAAACTAAAATATGTACATTTTATAAAAATATGCTAAAAGGACTCAACATCCGAATTTGTTTGTCTTCGTCTTCCAAAGGTACAGCATAGTTGATTTGTGTTCAGCAAAAGCAATTTTTTGTTGTTAGCCAGGTAGTTTCATACGTAAAACAAAAAATTCACAACAGTTCACCTAATGTATGAAATATACACGTAAACGCGATGAATTCACCTCGAAAACTCGCTTAAAATTAAATAAGATTGATTTCTTACTTATATTCGCTACTTGTGAAACTTATTTTGAGGTTAGAGTATATTGTTCTATAATAAACTTAAAGGTAGGAACATTATCTGTATTTGAACTTTGGTGTCTTAAGATATTTACATTTTAAGAAAATTTCTAAAATTGTTTAATTGAAATATTTATTTATACAAAAATAATCGTCACTAGTTTAAAAACCAAAATTTCGTAAAAATTCAACGTACAAACACAAGCAATGTTCGTAACTTTAAGTTTTGTAATATATTAATATGGTTAATTCACTCTAGTATTAAAGGCAGAGGCGTAGACTGTAGGTAACTTGAAATATTTGGCCCTAAGAACTAATTAACAGTAAACATTGTGAAAGTTGATAATAAATAATATAAGCCAATGATGCTTCTGTGAATTGGTTGAAAACAATTGATCGTAAAAGAAAAGTTTTTAGTTTTTTAGTAATTGTATTATACTATAGATAAAACCTATTTCATAAGGAATATAAAAATATGTACCTATAAAATTGTTAAACTTATTACCAGCAGTACCGGATCTGGGGGGGGCGATCCGGGGCCCATGCCCCGGCCGCTAATAATAGAGGGGCGCCAATTTCAAATTTTAAACTCTTAAATCATATAGCATAGGGGCGCTCATACTATGTAGTGCCCCGAGTTAAATAATTTGTAGATCTGGTACTGTTTAGCAGTTATATAATATAATAATAATTTGTGATGTTTGATTGATTAAAATTACAAAGTTTTGACGGAATGAAACTATTAAATAGTAGCATATAAATTAAATGCTGAGCCTGTATCTTCTATTCTACTATCTGTATAACTCGATATAAGATAACATACGTACAATGATCGCTACAAAATTAGTCATTATTATATCCAGCGATAGTGTGGCGATAAGTTTGGTATAAACTATATAACTATAACTATTCGATCATTATTGTCATCTTATAGATAGATTATACGACTATACCGGAGCCCATACAGCATTTGGGAAATGATACTATTTTGTGAATGTCTTAAAATGGTCGAATAATGAATATTTGACTAATAATTTATTTTCTTCTTATGATAAAAAAAAATTGTACCGTATGATTGCATAAAAATTTTGACTTAATATTTTTATAAAGTTTCCGTAAAAATGTTTTTTGAAAATATACCTATGGTTAAAATATTTTATAAATGTTTTATGTAAAATATTTTCAGATGTTTGAACTTTTGGAGCCAAAGAATATAAGTTACTAAAATATTTCCTAATTATTATTTACGCAACTTTTCAAAATATTTTAACAACTATATTATTTTCCTGAAAATATTTTTACCATAGTTAGGAAATATTTTTATGCTGTTTGGGAGGTGGCCAAACAGCGAATCGCGTTTTATTATAAGACTCAAAATATCTTTACTAATATAGGTATATCGTATATGAATATGTATATAGGTAATTATAAAGGCCAAATTATCCCATACCAAATTTAATCTGACTTTATATTGTACCTACGTTATCATACTGTTTTGTATTCTACTAATTTTATTGCATTTAATATTTTATCTTATTTATGATGGTTGAGAACCTTATTTTTCCTGCCAAAAACCATATTTTTTAGTATACTGTGCGGCTAGCGACTTTCTTATCGTTGGCTATCTGTGGTCTATAGTCTCTACCATCGAAAATTCGATTAGCATAATGGTTTTGAATCTAAGTAGGTTAAACACATCCCATATTTCTATCCAACTATACAGAAATTCATAAATTCGACGGAAATACGGGATAACTGATATAAATTTATAATTGGATGTGTACGATTTAACTTATTTTAATAAATAGGATTAAAAACAAAACACTAATAATATACCTAAATACGAACAGGCCCTCAAAATTTTCGGAATGTCTTGTGATCAAAGACGATAAGGTTGTAAAATGTCTTGACGTTATTTTAATTTTATTGAAGTACACTGTAGACCATTTCCAAAGGGTGGCTATGTGATGGATGTTGCGTTCTCCTAGCATAATATAAAAGCCATAAGTTCGTCTAAACACTTAACGTCTTAACCTAATTAATAATTATACTATCATAGAAATAAGTAAGTTGTAGATATTTTTAATTAAAATTAATCGTTTACTTTTTTGGGTTTTTGTAAATATATGAGTGTATTTGTAATGTAGTTTTTTTAAAAAAAGATCTCAAAATAGAATGTTTAAAAATGTATCACTTTTTCAACGAAGTACAATATTGTTTGGTTCATATTATATAGAAATAAAAGGTTGGACAAATTGAACCCCTCGATATTTAAAACGGAGTTTGGAGATGCTATTTATAATTTATTTTACAATCCTGCCGGAGTATTTTTTTCTTCTGTTAACATGTAAAAAGGGAAAGAAAATATATTATTCTGTTTATTAATAACACTCTAAAAATTCTATAATTTTCATTCACGATTTTGAGTTAATTATTTTTAAATACGTATATATTTTGGCTGTTATCAACGTATTTCCAAAGCCATAAATCAATTTTAGATTCTGAGCGGAGCGAGGAAGTTAGTGGTTTTACAATAAATTTTTTTTTTATCCTGTAAACAAAATTTATACCAGAAGGAGTACTTCGATTTCAACATATAGTATTTTATCTTTTAGCAAATTGGATCAAGATGGTACTTTAAAGAGGTAATTTTTCGATTTTCTCAATAGTTTTTTAACGCCACGGGAAAAACTACCAATGTGTTTTTTGTAACCTATTTTTTTTCTAACGCTTTGTTTATTACCATAGAAACGAATAAAATTTAAAAACTACCTAATTCCAGCTATCTGATATATTATGTATAATTGATGGTTACTTACTTATTAATACATATTTATGATTCATCAATTTTTTTTCCTCCTCTCAGAATTATTTTTTATCGAATGCAATCATTGCATTCAAATCGAATAGGTACTGTAATAATACACTATCTTGTCCGAGGACCTATGGGACGATGGACAAACTTCCACTACCCCGCCGCACTTACCCTCTGTTTTTTTTTATTGTTATTTTTACATAATGTAATTTATTTTCGAGTTAATGAACACAGCTCTACTATAGAATCGTTTCATTTTTATTTTTTGTTAACATTTACTATCGCAATATAGTTTTATTTAAATTACACAATTAACACGCAAGTACTTGAACTACTATATTATATTGTATAGCATATAGCAGTATACTATATACGTTTAATATATTTAACGATTTTTCTGGTTACTTAATACTTTTCATAAACACTTTTTTTTAACGTTAAAACCTATCATGAAATTTGTATGATTTGTGTGGATACTATATTTTAATGTCTTGTAATTTTTTTTCTGGAATATTAATTTTAAATAGGTAGTCCTTATTCATCGGAAATAGTCAAGAGTCTGTATTACTGGAAAAAAGCCACTTTTAACTTTTAAGATGGTATCATTCCCTGCACATTTAATAATTTAGACTGTCTGGTTACCTTTCTGAATATTTAAGTTTTTGCATTGCATCATTTTGGTTCCTACCAAATATAGTATAGTATACCTATAATATTTATATTATAAAGGTACGTTATATATAATAATCAAAATCATAATTAATTGTGTTATCAAAAAGTTATCACAATATATTTATTTAATGTGCATATAAGCTATAATATATATTTTTGATACTAGGTAAAAATATTTTAAATGTGAATTTGGGGGGAGGGTGGCCCCCTCAGACCCCTCTGGCTATACGTGGCTGGTAATATAGAGCCACTGCGGAATGCGGATACAATGTTCCATCCGTATAATAGAATTGTTAACCATAACTTTTTTTTTCAAGTCAAAGGTCACAAAAATCTCCTGAGGTCGTCGTCAATCCATGACGTAGGTAGGTAATATAATAAACTCCGTCATGTCACCTTCCCCATCCCACCGTTCCACCGTTTGGGCGTAGAGGATGAGCATATTATAATACACGCTTTTATATACCTAATCCCGGGGTTATAGGATGGCTTTTGATCTTTTTTTCGGTCGTCAAATATGAATAAATATAAAGGGCATGCCGAAAAATAATTTCCTGGTGCATCTATATAGAGTGAACTTAGTAGAAAAAACCTCTTTATTAATAATAATAATTTGAAAATATTATACTTTCGTCTTCGTGCGTGGAATAATTTATAATACAGCAAGTGTCCGAAACAAAGTTATTCAAACTTCAAAGAGTATACATATATGTATTACAGGCAATAGGTACTGAAGTAGACCCTGGACAGTTTACCGGTTATTAAAATCGGGAGAATTTACAATCGCCCAGGCAAATACGTGTTCACACGACGTGGATTTGCTTTACAATTTTTAAAAAATCAACATCAGTTAGACCTTAAATGGAGGATTAAAATCTCACAGAAACGCAACAAAAAAAAGTGAGTAGATGGAAGTCGCTTTGCTGTACAGAAGGTTACAAGTGGGTCACTGTAATAGATGGTGTTAAATTTGAAAATGATAAAATATTATTGTATAAGAAAAACGATTCTGAGCGAAGACGGTCAGCTAGCCTGTAATATATTGATAATTTGACAATATTTGACAATATTATTGTGATTAAAGTAATTTATTTTACTATTAGTCATTAGTATAACAGTATTTCAAATTCATTTTTGCTAAACAAATTACATTTGAAAATGTCATTGTGTGTAATGTGTATAAAATATAATAATATCCAAGTTTCATACACCCACGAATAATATTTTTACTTAACGAAATAACTAAAATCGTTATTCTTGGTTTTAATATGTAATTTTGTTTCAAATTTGAACTTATGCCTGTAAAAAATAACTGTGTTTATATACTATTTATTAGATTTTTAGTTTCAGTATAAACGATTATTAGAAGAATTTATTAAGATAATATAATTAAATTTTGAAATACAAGGTTCCTTTCCACATAGTTTTGTAAGAGTATCAAATTCAGATTTGATTACATACTGTGCAAAATAGAGCTAATAATTAAAATATCTGATAAATTTGGGAGAGAAACCAATGCATGAAAAAATAATAATAAGTAGGTCCATAATTTAATCCTCCCATGTAAACGTATATATTTAAGACGTATACCTATTCAGTGGCGTACATACGGGGGGGGGTCGGGTTCAAACCCCCCCCCAGGACCAAAAAAAAAAATAATAATGTGATATTATTGATGAATTTCTTATTATTAATCAACCGTGTATACACAAATATACGTCATCATAATATGACTATTGAGTAAACAGTAAACACTTTACTAAACCAACAACGAAAAAAGATTCCATAACGAAATTATGGGTGCCGTATAATATGGTATATCAATCAAAATAGACATTATTTTGATCGTACACAGTCAGTAAGTTGCGTGAGGATATAAATACATATTAATATTGTCTTTATCTCGACCGACTCGATCAGACAACGGAGAAAAAACCGATTGCGTTATAATCGTTGAATTTCGCGTGAGTGACAATAATACGGTGAAATGGATTCTATTTTTATAGCACTATCATAATTATTGACCATGTTAAAATATTTAATTATGAAATGTTCGTTCATTCTGTTCTATTCTGCCGTCGGAGAAGTTTTTTTTTGTTTATTTTTAGATTTTAGTGTCGGCAAACTATATCATAATATTATGTCTATATTATTGAAATTTTGACATGGCAACAAAATAGACTCAAATAATGAAATGTAAAAATATGAAAAACAAAATAAATGAACTTACAAATAAAAAAATGAATTCGTTAATTTAACGTTGATTAAAAAATAAATTTAGTAAATTAGTAGTTAAGTTAAAAATTATTATTATCACACCATAATCATTCACTGTATACTAATTGAGTCCCTATACCTGAACGGGAAAAAAATAATGTACTAATTGAGTCCCGGGTACAAACGAAACATATACTAATTGAGTCTGGGGTTAGGAAACTAATTGTATACGAATTGAGTCCGAGGATTATTTTGAGTAAAATATAAAATAACCATCCAGAGTCCAGACACAGCGAAAATTATACCACACAGCCGTGCCGCGCGTCAAAAGCCGGTCCACACGGATATACCTATATATATTATATACATAACATTCATATCATGTTATATTATATAACATATATGTTATGTTATATTCATATCATTCGTAGAATTCATAGCCCGTAACAAAGTATACATATTAAACCGTGACAATTAAAAATAAGAAGTGCAAATAAAATAAAATATCAGTAGCTCTAAGTAGTTTTAATGGTATACCTACATAATATAGTCTTATTATTAGTAATGCAACAAAAAATCAATAATACAGATTACAGATGGTACTGGATTATTCCTAATGGTAGCACCGCTATCCACATATTCACCAATTTTTGTTTTGGAATACCATGCATTTTAGTAAATTACTTTCATCAGCTGTTTCTGTTACACTCTGTATATAAAAGAACTATGTGAGAAAAAAGTTGTTTGATAAGTTTAAATAGTTTAGGAAAAAACCTATGTATTGCAACTTTTTTGTCTTAAATTATAGACGAGAAAAATGAAGAAGCAGCTTACAATCAACACAGAGAACTTGATAAAAATGCACAAGAAGGACCACATCAAGAACCCAAGAAAAAGAAACGTAAACACAGGTAACCTTATACATTTTTACTGTTTATTATATTATCATATTATTCATTGCCATATTAACATTAAACAGCATGCATAATATAGTTTATAAGTTATAACCATCTATACGCCACAATGGTATATTTAACTCCATATGCACTTTGAAAGGCTTAAATAGTTTTATAAAAAGTATTATAGTCTTAGAAACTCGACACACTGAACTGTTTTAAGTTCAAATTTTGTATTTTTATTGTTAAATTCTTACCTACATAGTACACACATTTAAAAATGTATTTAGTTATTCCTTAAGAGGACGTGATAACCGCATGTGTTGTCTCCGTCTTACAAGTGCGTAACATAGCAAATTCTACGCAAATCAGAACACGTATAGCTCCGTTAGTTTAAAAATTAGAGTGAATTTACCTCTTATAAAATCTAAAGGTAAGATTATTATCTAGACAACCTCATGGGTTTTTTTATTACATTTTAATTTTTAAGCGAACTATGAGTATTTTAAAATTGTAAATTGTTTATAGATCTTAAACTACTTACAACTAGTTTGAAAATTAAAATATTAAAAAAAGTCCATGAGGTTGCCTAGATAATAATCTTACCTTTAGATTTTATAAGAATTTAATTTACTCTAATATTTAAATTAACAGAGCTATACGTGTTTTGCTGAGCGTAACATTTGCTATGTTATGCACTTGTAAGACGGAGACAACACATGCGGGTATCACGTCCTCTTAAAGTTGAGAAATTTAAAACAATTAACAAAACAAATCTTTCAAAATCTAGTTAGCTATATTTAATTTATTATTTATTATTCCATAATATTCAAATTAAAATATTTATCATTCATTAGATATACGATGAATTGAGAAATAAAAATAATTTTCTTGAATTTAAATCTAACATTTAAAATTCTACCTGTTTTATCTTGATATTGACAACCCATAAATCAAGAATCATTCAGTTCAGACTCGTAACTTACAATAACTATAACTATAACTTGCAGTTTTCTTTTTTAATTGTATGATATTGTCTACTTATATATTGTATCTATCAAAACGACAATATAGCTGGTGAAATTTTTTTTTTTTTTTGTACATAAAATCTTCTTCAATTATATTTACGGCCTGTTAAATTTTGTATGTAGACATCATCATCGTCATCATAGCCGGCATAGGAATAATGAACGAGAAATTTTTATACCAAAGGATGATTTACAAATGGATGAAAATTTAGATGAGTTCATTCAAGACGATTTAACAAGTAAGAACATTTAAAAATTATTTTTAATGATTAACAGCTTAGAACTATCATATTATATAAAAATAACACGAATTACACCACATACAAATGTTAATAGTCAACATTTTAACTCAAATGAAAATGATAAACTTTTGAACATTTTAATTATGGTTGAGGCTTCCAAGAAAAATGCCGCCCGTGGCCGAGTTCGAACCGGCTACGGTGCGCTTCGCAACCGACGCTTTAGTCCGCTCGGCCACTCCGTCCTCTTAAAAACAAATTATAATTTGAATACCTATTGAAGTATATAAAAATGGTTTATGATTTTAAATTATTACCGTATTTTACATTTACAACAAAACTTGCATTATTTATAAAAATGTAATGAAATAAAAACATATAAATGTTGTATGTAATGTTGTAAGTTGTATGTATTAAAAAATGCTAAGCAAGGTACCTACAGTTATGAAAACTTCTCTGAAAATAGCTTTGATGATTTTTAACATTATTGATATTTATTTATTTTTTATTACATGCTTATTTTTACTGTTTGAAATATTTTTTTTGGCAAAGTTTAAGTGTTATAAACTAGCATAAAATAATATTGACAATGTATAGATCTTAGACAAATTACATGAAGACAAACGCAAAGCAGACTGGTTTGTATGGTACAGTGTTGTTTTGGAAGAATAAACACATACTTAATATTTTAGATATTAACATTTTTATAATAAACATAGACTATTTTTATATGTATTATGTATATAGTATTCGTTCTAAATATCGATAAAGTACCTTTTTAATTGTTAATTAAACACATTATTATCTTTTCGATGATACTTAATGTTGTATTTTCATATACCACCGAATACTTCATAGTTAATAGACAATATAGGTACCTAGCCGTTATTTAAAACGCCACTCCTTTTATCGTATTAATAATTGAATTAATTAATTTGAAGTTAAATTGGTACCTAGGTAATTATAATTATTTTATTATTTAGTGACTATATTTTATGTTAACCATACATATTTGATAACTCATATTAATCTCAGATGCATTTATTTATTTCATACACCTGAGTAACATTGTTGACACAACAATGACATTCGTGACGTTAATTAATATAATAGTGATTTTTTTATGATGTCAGATAACAGGAGTATCAATTAGAATATTAAACATTTTTTTTCTTCAAAATTATGATAAAAATATAATATTATGATTTCAATTATTATTTGTAGGTCATCGATACGACTGCAATAAAGAAAAAAGGAGATTCAGCGGCAAAAACAAAAGTTCCTTTTTGGTTCCGTATGCTGGAGATATAGAGGGGAATTTAATCGCAGGCTTGCCAATAAAAGTGATTAAGAAATACGTAGATCATAGTCCTCATGCGGTACGTTATTATTATTACTATGATTATGATTAAAATATTCAAGTACATTGCTCGTTGAGACACCTTTTGAGATAAAATGTGTTGTTTTTATTTATGCGTCGCGCTGTTCACGCGTATATTTTCTCAATGATTGACTTATTTGTACAGGTTTTTGTTCAACTAGACGAGTTAAAAGGTACCGGAGAAGAACGAGAATGGAAAGAAACTGCTCGATGGATAAAGTACGAGGAAGATGTGCAAGAGGGCACGGACAGATGGGGACGTCCGCACGTGGCTTCTTTGAGTTTCCATTCGCTATTGAACGTGAGAAGGTCTTTGGAGTCAGGTGTGTTTTTAAAAAAACGTTAACAATACCCACCAAGAGCTATCACTTATCAGGTAATTTTGCTAAAGGTGTAATTTTACTGGACTTGGAAGAAAAAGACCTACCCGGTGTAATATATCGGGTGGTCGAACAAATGGCCGTCGAGGAACTGATCAACCAAGAAGACAAAGCTGCGGTCATGAGATTGTTGTTACTTCGACATAAACACGTTCAACAAGATAGCGACAAGTTTAGTAGGTTTATGAGACGAAACACATCTAGCTACACAAGTCTTACGGTAATTTTTGTTTATTGATTCATTGTATTTTAAAATGGCTTCAGAATATCGTTTATTATTTGGATTATTTATTTATCTTCAAGGATTTTTTCTGAATTGTTAAAAAAACCAATTCTACAGTAATAATTTTGAAATAGAATGTTCTCTATATGTTTCTACTGAACGCATATAATTTATAAACATAACATTTTTAAATTTTGAAAAATTTTGAAAGCCACGATTATTTTTATATGATTTAATAATAGGTACATGTCTATAATTTTGTTTAAATATTGTTTTTCTGACAGCAATTTGAGGCAGAATTTCTGGCTAAGCGGTCGGCATCACTTACACACAATGTAAACTAAGTCTCTTCATTGAATATAAATATATTTAATAATAATAATAATATTAATAATAATAATAATAATAATAATAATAATAATAATAATAATAATTTGCATCATTCGTTTTAAATTATTAACAACATTTAAGAATTGTTTATTGTTTGTTTTATAGTAGAATAGAATATTTAGATAAAATCCTTTGATTGACAAGTGTCCACCTGCTACAACTATATCTGAATCGCTTTTTTAAAAACTTCTTTCAGATTGAGGCTATAGGCCAACGATTTATAACATATTCACGATTTGCTTTTTACCATTAATACAATATAATATTTTATATATATTTAAATTAATAAATTAGTATTATACAAAATGCAATGCTTTAATTGTGTAGATTACTCATTATTTTTTAGATTTCAAAATTGTTTGAAACAAATAATACCAAGTAGCTAATAAAGCCTATAGTTTATAATTTAGTTATATTCTATGCGTTATATTTACTATAACGGTTCAATAGTATTTACCTGTTTTATTTTTAGAATCTTAATGACGACGGAAAGTCAAAAATGAAAAGTACTTTATCAAGCCATGAAATGCATTCAAGCCCTAAATTTGGCGTCATCAACAACAACAACAACAATCGTTCTTTCCTAGACTTGGACAAAAATCATATTAATATTGATATGAAAGAAGAGACTTATACCTCGTCCACCGAAGACATGGTAAAAAAAGCTCAAAAGGAAAGTATTCTTAAACGAATACCAATTGGTGCTGAAGCCACTACGGTGTTAGTTGGTTCTGTGGATTTTTTAAAAAAGAGGACCGCAGCTTTTGTACGTTTAGCTGAGGGTATCTTGATACCTTCATTGACCGAAGTTACAATACCAGTAAGATTTATGTTTATACTTTTGGGTCCTCCTGATCCAAAGGATATCGATTATCATGAAGTTGGAAGATCAATGTCGACTTTAATGTCAAATTCTGTAAGTAATGTTCTCTATATATATGACCACTAAAAAAATTTAATTACGTAGGTACCTAACAAAACAAAGCTTAAGAAATATGTATAAAAACTGCTAAAATTTAATATTTAACGAACAAATTAAATGATTTTCATAATTGAATTTTTGATAATTGTAGGAATTTCATTGTAAAGCGTACAAAGCGGCGGAACGTAAAGAACTGATTAGTTTATTAAATGAGTTTCTCGATAGCAGTATTGTATTGCCACCATGCGATTGGGAAAGAGAAGAATTATTATCTTTACGGGAACTCAAAGAAAAAAGCGAACAAATCAAGAGGCGAAAAACACGCGCAGCCTCACAAAAAGGTAAAATATTATCAGTTATTGGTATGGACCATCAATGATTCATTTCAATTTTCAAATATTTAAGCAAATAAAGTAATACATTAAATGTCTATGGTCTATTTTTAGTGACGACCTTAACTTCAACTTCAAGTGAAAAGAGCGACGATAGCAAAGATGACCCTTTGAGACGTACAAAAAAACCTTGGGGAGGTTTAGTGAAGGACATAAAACGCCGATTACCGTACTACAAATCCGACTTCATTCAAGGGTTAAATTTACAGTGTATAGCATCAGCAATATTTATATACTTTGCCGCTCTGTCAGCAGCAATCACTTTTGGCGGTCTCATGGGTTAGTAGAATACCTTAATAGTTGTAGATTAACAAACTGATGATTCCCGCCCATTTGAGGAAAATCGCTGTAATTTTTAAATATACAAACGTCTTCTCGTTATTTTTCAGCGGACAAAACGAAAAACTTCATCGGGATATCAGAAACGCTAGTCGCCACATCTGTGTCCGGTGTCGTCTTTTCGCTGTTTTCCGGACAGCCATTATTGATAGTGGGAACTACTGGACCTTTGTTGCTCTTTGACGAAGCACTGTTCACCGTGAGTTTGCGTTTATTGCAGTTCGATAGTTTTCGGATCCCTTTTCTATGTATAAATATCTCTCTAATAAAATCGTGCGTATTTTGTAGTTTTGTCGTAGCAACGACATCGAATTCTTACCTATGAGAGTTTACATTGGCATATGGTTGGTAATCATTGCTCTACTTGTTAGTTGCGTTGAAGGCAGTGTTCTAGTAAAAGTCTTCACAAGGTTTACTGAAGAAATTTTTGCGTCCCTCATATCGTTAATTTACATATGGGAAAGTCTATCAAAATGTTTTAACGTAAGTATAATAATGATGGTAATTTCTTTCATGTTACTCTTTAATCATTGAATAGGTACATTCGCATATAAGATACCTATGGAAATGTATGATCAACCGTAAAATATTTGTTATTTTTAAAGGTATTTATCAAACATCCTCTGTTACCATTGAAGGAGTATTGTGAAGAAAACAATTTATCAGGCAGTGAAAATTACATTTCTCTCTCAAACTCTACTTCCTATAATTCTACATCTAAGTGAGTGCTTGATTCGTTAGCATCTATTCTGTTTGTTATTATCTACATTTTTTTTTAAATAATTCTTTATATTACAATATATTCTTATCATTATTACTATTAATAGCTGATCGTCATATACTCGTATGCAAAATAAAATAAATACATTTGTTTATTCGTGGATTTTTAATTAAAGTATAACGTTAACTAACATATTATAAAACAACTGAATTTACCGATAAATAGTAAAAATCTATTGAGTGTTTTTGTTCTTCCACTGTGAGATATTTTTATTATATTTAATAGCTTCAATACAAATACAAATTGTATGGCAAGTTTAACTATAATTATTTTTTGTTAAAATATGTTAATAGGTTTTTATTTATATATTTTTTAATTATTTTATAATAATTATTCGCTGTTTAATTGTATACATTGTGGATAAAATCATAATCTTGAATAAAATAAAACCTATAAAAATTTTGTTTAGCGATACAGAGTTGTTTAGACCAATGGATCACCAACCTATGATCACAAAGCAGCCGAATACTGCGCTACTATGCACTATCTTAGCACTGGGAACATTTTTCGTTGCCTATTACCTTCGGCATTTCAGAAATAGCAAATTTCTTGGAAGAAATGTGAGTAAATTTTCATTATTATAAAATATGTCTTCATTGATTGTGAGTATTGAGTATAATATTGACGAAATGACAAACTTCATTCCATTTCACAATATTATGTTTCATTAATTGGTTTTAACATAATATTATTTGGATTTACCTACGGATCGAATTGTCTTGTATACCTACAAATTACTATGTCAGTTTTAATAGGACACAAAACTTAACTTGTTAATTTATAATCAAATAAAATTAATGAAACAAAATTAAGTAAATGAGCTATGGATTTTAGGATTGTATGTAACATTAATGCTCCTTTGTAGGTACTCCCAACTGTCTGTGAAATAAATTATTTATAGGTAAGGTAATAATTTCAGATCCGTAGAGCGTTGGGTGATTTTGGCGTACCCATAGCCATAATATCGATGGTAGCCGCCGACTATTTCAATCCAACTACTTACACTGAAAAGCTCAAAGTTCCTGAAGGTTTAACGCCATCAGATCCGGCGGCACGTGGGTGGTTCATATCGCCCAGCGGGTTAAAGAGGCCCATCGAACCCTGGGTACCCTTCGTTGCCATCGTGCCGGCTATATTGGTCTATATTCTCATGTTCATGGAAACCCACATCAGCGAGTATGTATACCCATACTAATTTGGACGCGCGTGCTAGTGAAATTTGATGCATACAACTTCAAAATATAACTGACCACTCTATCGGTTCACAGGCTGATTATTGCTAAAAAAGAACGCAAACTTCAGAAGGGCAGCGGCTTTCACTTGGATATCGTTCTAGTAAATTTCATCAATCTGATGTGTGGAGTGATTGGCGCCCCATGGATGAGCGCCGCGACCGTCAGGTCCGTAGCACACGTATCATCGCTAACAGTGATGAGCCGAACTCACGCTCCCGGTCAAAAGCCTCATATTATTGAAGTAAAAGGTTCGTGCAAAATAATTGTATCGCAAACGAATGTAGTTTAAGATATTTTTGTGACTTCTTTGGACTTTATCCACGTGGTTTTGTATATCTACGCCAAGTAAATTCAAGTCCAAATACACGAGGTTTAGATTAAAAAAAAACATAACACAGGCTTGCGATACTGAAAAATTATATCAATATATATACATATATATAGGTACGTATCAATACGTAATAAATCTTTATGCAAGCCTGGGCATAAACGAGTTAAAAAGTTAAAGCTAAGTTAATTTTAAGTTAATTTTTAACTTAACTTATTTTAATTGATAAATAATTAAATAATAAATATAATAAAGTTATTATTGATGTGATGCATATTGCATAAACGTTTATTTTTTATTATTTTAAACCATATTACTGACTATATGTATAATAAATAAATTAGGATAACTATTATCTTTAAACTTTTTAAAATGTTTTCCATCAACTTAATTTAACTCAATTAAAATTTATCATTAACTTGCACCAGGCTTGTTGCAAGTTATAATATCGTTTTAATGAGATGTATACCTATGTATAAAAGAAAAAAACATATTTTTGAAATATCTGCAAATTTGGATGTGTTTTTATTTTAAGCTGATAGAAATTATAAAATATTTGGAGTAAGTTACTTTGGTATTTATCAAAAATAGAGAACATTTAAATTATGTAACGTCATCCATTCGTGACTGTAAATATTATTGTAATAAAGATACAGTATTAGTTCTCAGTTCTTATGTATTATTTAATGCAGAGGTTCCCAAACTGTGGGTCGCGATTATATTTTTAGTGGGTCGTGGAACATTTTTAAATGATACATTTTTTAGACACGTGTTTCTATTACTTTTCGTTACCTAAATTTAGTTATATCATAAATCGCTATCTGCGTTTGTAACAGTTACAAATTTACTGTGACCTTATCAACACGAAGCAATTAGATTAATAGTTATTGAAAATATAACAATTTATTTGAAACAAATTAGTACCTGCATGACGTTCAAATCAATTATTTTCAGTAAAACTATCTTTTTTTATGTTTTATTCGTTCAGCACAAAAAGAAAAGATTATTGTGGGGCGCCAAAATTTTAATACTTTCCAAAATGGGTCGTACCATAAGAAGTTTGGGAACCTCTGATTTAATGTTTTATTTTGTCTCATTTTTAAATGATTTATTTTTTTATTATTAGAGCAAAGAGTCAGCTCTCTATTAGTGTCCATAATGGTTGGTTGTTCAGTGGTCATGTCTCCTTTACTGCGATTGATACCAATGGCTGTACTTTTTGGAGTCTTTCTGTACATGGGAATATCGTCTATCGACGGTATACAATTTTTCGAACGTCTCAAATTGGTTTTCATGCCAGTGAAACATCATTCAGAAGCCCCATACGTTCGCCATGTAAGTATATTAATATATTCAATTTCAGCCAAACTTCATTGTTATTGGTAGGTAAACATTTGTAATATTAATCAAATCATATTATATCTAATTTAATACAACTTTAACGTATCAGAAATACGTTTAGAGAAATCGTATGAATAAATCATGCTTAATAATAATATATTATATTAATTGTGTATAAATAAAAAAATCCAAGTGCATACTTATAATATGATATACAATATATATTATGTTCCAGATTCTTGGAATAAACTAAAAAATATTTTTTAAAACTATTAATTTATATTGAAATAATTTTTACTTTGACTTCGAATCTTTTTAATTTAATTGATTAATTATTAATGAGTTTCGTGTCTGATTTTGCGTTTCAGGTACAAACATACAAAATGCATCTATTCACTGGAATTCAACTTGTATGTTTGTGTATTTTGTGGAGCGTTAAGTCGTCATCATTTTCTTTGTTGTTTCCGTTTTTCTTAATCATGATGATACCGGTGCGATCTCAACTATGTGATAAAATATTTACTACAAAAGAATTACGAGCAGTAAGTATCGCTGGATTAATTATTACTTTTTTATTTTGTGGATACCTAATACTATATTTGTTCTTCAACTTTAGCTGGACAGCAATGAGCCGATCAACATGAATAATGACGAAGATGAGCCCGACTTCTATGCTGAATCTCGACTACCGGGATAATAATATTTTTTTTGACTGTCATAATACAATTTTTTCTTTTTTTTTTTAATCGAATGTTTTAAATTTTGTGACAATTAATTTATGTTCGACATCATACCTAATATGGTTTGGAAGAATAGCGCATATTTGACTTTAGGCTTACAACTGAAATTGACTATTGGATAACAATTTTACATATCCACGATCTTTCAAAACATTTTACTATTTATCCATCTATAATTACTATTGTTGATTTATATAATATAATACACAAGTATACAGTAAACTATTTAAAAACATTTGAAAAATCGCTTAAAAATAATTTAAATTCTATCGATCTTATTAGGATATATTATATTATATAATATAGGATATATTAATTTGTCTTGGTAACAATTAATTGTTATTTCTTATGTAAGAAATTAGGAGATTTTTTATGAAAATAATTTGTATTACTTAAACATAAATATAACTGTTACTCTTACTGGCTCATAGTAAAATCTGAAAATCAATTGATAAGTGCTTTAAGTCTTTTCTACCTATTGCTAAAGTTAATAGATTTGCTCATTTTGTTGCCAAAAGTTTGTTTCCCATACATTCCAGCTAGCAATAATCAATGATATATTTGTGTATATCGATAACATTGTCAATCCCTAAATACACTTTTTGTCACTGCTAACATAATATTCATTCACATATATTATTATGTTATGTCAAATAAATAGACGTATAACACATGGATCTGAAATATTGTACAATAATACTATTGCTGAGTCCTATTATTTTTGTATTTGTGGTGCAATATTATTAAGCTTTAATTGAGTTTATGTAGTTTAAATAAAGTTTATGAGTATTAATAATAGTAATAGAAAATGTACTCATTTAAATGTGTTATAATCGTTGAATTGTATTATTATTAATATTATTGTATTTGAATTATTATATTATGCATATTTATATGCAAATACCTAATTACGTATTAAGTTTCAAAAATGTTCAGTATTTTATTTTCATTATGATACTTTTAGACTAAAATAAAACGTTTGCAGGTTAATTAATGAACGGTATCTATGTGTTGTTTATATGTAATTGGATTGTTGAATATTTTTTTCGATATATATTTGTTTTTAAATTATAGTTTTGTAAATTATAATATGAATATGGATTAATGTATGTTACCTATGGCGATTGTATCATAAATACCTTATTTTTCTAGTAATTAAATCTTATTGAAAATTTGTTTTTGAAACCAATAAAGAGGTATAAATAATGTTAAACATTAAATTTATTATTTTATAAATAATAGATGGTAACCACAACCCACATGTCTATAGTATTTACCATAATACATGCCTATTTATATAAAAATATTTTATACATTCCAACTGATCTTAAAAACCCTAAAACATTTTTTTTCCTATATACCTATAATTGTCAACATATTGTATTCTTATTCTTCTTTGTCATTAAGCCCGGATTAAGATAATTTGGGACCCGGGGCAAAACGATTTTAGGGCCCCCCAACAAAATGTTTATTCTATTATATTTAATTATTTAAATACTTTGTTTTTAAATCAAAGTTTTTGAACAATGAACATAATATACATAAATCATAAATATTATTGTTTTCATGTGTTCATTATTCTAGTTAATATTTGAAAGTACTTACAATTTATATTAGTTTCATTGATTATATTTTCATTTGAAATACCATGATCTGTTGCTGTAATATTTGAAATTGGTTTATCATCACTTTCATAAAAAGACAAAAAATCCCGTTACAAGACTTGTATTGTTTTCGTAGAAAAACAAAGTAAATAATGTTTCAACCGTCGGCTGTCGTAAATACTAAAATACGTAATCAACGCGGATATTCGAAGTACTCTGGATTATTATAAATCCCATTTCCTCGCATTTCCTCCTTATCGTTGTGCTAAAAATGGTCGATATTGTCGATATTGCGATAGCGTAATAATAATAAAATTATCTTTCATTATCGATATAGTTAGCCTTAGTTATCCAAATATTTCTGATAAAAAAAATCGTATTATCCACCAGGCGCTTACTATTGTTTGATATTCGTGGGCCCGGGGCCATAGCCCCCTCTGCCCCCGCCCCCCAAATCCGGGCTTGTTTGTCATTCTCATATTGATATATTGTATTAATATTATTTATTATTGTTTAATTGTGGTTGGTCTAGTTAGCAGTTAGTCAAAAATATAATATTTTTAGACCTTTTTATAGGTTGTAGGACACTTTGAACGGTCACCTAGAAAAATTAAAACCGCGGACAGTTTGTACTATTTTAGGTAGTAACAACCGTCAATATGGCGGACAGTTTGTACTATTTGAGGTACCTACATATAAGTGTGTACCTATTTTTCAAATGAAAAAAACAAAAGATACAAGTGCATATATATAGTACCTATATCACATTATCGTTATTACAAAACCCATGTAGTTAACAGACATAAATAATAATAATAATAATAGTTATGATAGTAAATTTATATTACCTACCTATCTACAGGCTTCATGAATTTTTAAAAAAATTCACTGTCAATTATAAGTCATAAATCATAATATATAAATTTAAAAATAATAATAATAATAGTTAATATAATATTTAAAAATTAAAAGTATGGCAAATTATTTCAAGTAAATGTGTATTTGACATTTGTAATTATTTTATTTTCGTGCTGTGTACAGGCTTCGTGGATTGTTTTTTGTGTATTTTGGTTTTTTTTCATGAAGGTTTGTAGTAACTTTACCGGTACAAGTCACTTTTGAACACTTCCACCTAATATTTGATCACGATTCGCGATCTAAAGTTTTGAGCAATTCAATTTTATCTTATCTCCCGACTATATTTCCCGGTTTATTTATATCGTACAAATAAGTGTCGGCGATTGATTTTTATCAATTTATTTTCACCGTACAAAGTGTTCTCGGTATGCAACTCAAACAATAGATAGTACAAAGTGTCCGTTTACCCTTTCTTTGTGTAGGTATACTGTGAGTGTCTGGCCATACCAATTTCAATTTTGTAAAAACTTGAAGGCATGTGACGTATTATTTTCTAAAACTTGATAGAGACCTTTTATAAAATATTAATTTCTAACTTAGTTGTTACTAAATAAAATGTTTAAATGTCCATATTATAATCATTTTTACTCCTGTATATCTAAGATAGAAATTCATACTTCAAAAAACACCAAAATTAAGTCCAAAAATAAATGTCAAGCTAACTTAAGGATTTTGCAGAGTTAAAATCGAAACATCTGAAGTCTCGCACTATATCACATGGGAAGCATTTCTGCTTTAAATTGTGATTTGGTAATATTAATATATTTTAATTAGTATTATTATTAGTATGCGGCCTTAATTATTGAATTATTTTAACATTTCCACGTGTGTGCGAGCAATGATACGGGTCACAGATGTCTGTAATTTATTTTGCACACAATACCGAGTCTTATCACAAGAGCATAAAGATTTGCATATACGATACTCCTTAGAAAATAACAAACTAGAATCATATAATATAAAATCATAATTCAGCCGTTTGAATAACACTATTATAGTCTATAAATCTATAATCTCTAAATAAAATATATTTATACTTAACGTCGTACCTACCGCTGTAACTTATCCGTGTAACCGTTTTTATATTTTTTAAGCCTTCTCAATAATTAAGATAAATTGAGGTAAATTATGTACCTAACTATTTCAGTTTTAATTGAAACAAAATCAAAGCTTATAATTTCCTTAATGGATGAGTTTGTTCCTACCTTAAAGTATATTAAATACCTTCAAAAAAATATTTTTTTGTTATTAGTTTATTACTTTTAAAATATGTCATTATTGGCATTACAATTCAATTTATTTACTTGCAATTTATTATTTTATTTTCTATTGTTATGTATTTGTAACATAATAACACCAAACAGACAACAGTGTATCTAATTATAAATTATAATGATAGTTAATAGACATTTTGTTTAGTTGAATCAAGGACGATTGTTTTAAACATCTACTTAATAAAATAATATTAATGATAATAATGTTAATAATATTAATGGTATCGGTACGTACAAAAATAAACTTTTGCTTATATATTATACAAATTGTTCTCATACCAGTATGAAATAATTTATATTATTTATAAATCTTTTCTCCTGGGTAGAAAGGCCTTAAGTCAATTTTTCACAAAAAATGTTTTTCCGCATATGTAAAGCTTAATTTTTGCTAATTTTTTTGTTACATTTGGCATAAGTCAGTGACGAATATTAGGTACTCATATAATTGAAGAAATAAATAGGGCATATCTAAACATAACCGTTTCTACGTGATGACTTATGCCTGGACTAAAAGACATAAGTCAAAATAAGTGAAATCAAAAAGACATAAGTCGTGGACAAATATAGGGCTTAAGTCAGAACAAGTGAAATCAAAAGGGCATAACTACAGTTATCTCGTTAAATATTCATAGTAACAAGAATTTTAATGGTGACATGCATTAAGAATTTAATATATATAATCTAAAAATATCGTAAATATGTATGGATATAATGAACTGTAGAAATTTTCGAACTTTGATACTGCTGTCGCAAAAAGTTGGAAATGGACTTAAGCCCTTTTTCCAAGGGAGCAAAGAAATATATTGTTATTTTAATTTATTATTGAAAGTAGTTTTAACTGAATACATATTATTTGAATTGTGAGTGTATTTATTTTATTCTACTTGACAATTTAAATAAACAAATTAGCTGGATGTTAAATTATATATATATATATATATAGTAGTGAAGTCGTCTTTCGCATTATTATTTGTATAAGAAATTGAAACACCTTAATATTCAATTTTATATCCAAGTAGAGAATATGCAAAGTACTTATATAAAAATCAGATACAAATATCAGGTATATGAAATAAAATTAATTTATAAGCAGTATTCACGGAATTTATTATCATAAGTACCTACCTATATTACACTTTAAAAGTTTAAACTAGCGTTCAA